CCATTTTGCATATTTCCAAGTTCAAATAGAGAAGAAATTAACATTTAAAATGTGCAACCTGATCTTTGGGTCCCAGTGGTTTATTACATTCATGTTTACAGCATCAAACTCACTGATGGTTTAACAAACAAGACATTGGATTAAGACTCAAGAAAACCTAGGTACTTTTCTTTTGAACTGAGACTCATTAAAGATAGCTAAAGCTATTGAGAAATGGATTGGACTGCAATGTAAGGTAGAGAATTTCTCACACTGAGAGGCGTTCAGCAGTGGCTGTGTAGAGGGGACTCATGCGTCAAGAGGAGTTTGACCTGAAGGTCTCTTCCAATTCCTGCTATTTGTGACCCATTTTCAGGGCCAATCCAAACAATTAACCTCACCATGCCTCACTTTCCTCACTGTGAAATAGCACTGACACCTATTCACCTCAGAAGTATATTCTAGGGTTTATTTTGCTACTTATAAGGCATGGAGCAGACTTCATAAAAAGGGGCAATCTAAATAGCAAAGTTTGTTATTACTTAAAAGGAAGGCATAGAAAATTTTCAATGCTCACTGGAAATAGCAGAGGTTTTTTTTTTTCTCCTCCATATGCTCCACCTGTTGCCTGAGTTACCCAATGTGCATGCAAATCAGCATTTTTTCTGTGTCACATCTGAGTGCACCGAGTAGACAGGCGACCAAAGCAAGTGTTTAGAATTGGCCATTTGGATATTTTTGAAAGTTGTATCTATATGCAGAGCTCAGCTCAAATTCATGTGAAAAAAAAAAAAAAAAAAACAGCCTTCTTTCTGTAAAGCGTTTATTCAACCAAAGTTGCATTTCCAATTTCATTCTTGGGGATACAAGTGGAAGAGACTTTTATGATATTATTTTGTATCTGTACGTTTTGTCTTTTAATTTAGAAAGATCTGAACTTAGAGAAAAGTTGCAGGACATGTACAATAAACTCCTGTACACCCTTCACCTAGATTCATCATTTATTACCATTTGGCCTCATTTGCTGTAAATCTCTATCATTCTCTTAATATAGAAACACCTACAACAACAAAAATAATACTAAGTAGTAGCACTGTTGAATCATTTGAAAGTAAGCTGCAGACATCTTGACCTTTTTCCCCATAAATACATGAGCATGAATTTCCTAGGAAGGACCTTTCTCGTTACAACCACACTACGATTATCAAGTACAGGAGACTTAACAATAATATAATAATGTTATCTAAATACATAGAAATATATATTTGCTAATATTATTATTGGCAAAATAATAGTATATATTTGCTAGTTGTCCCAGGATCACAAATGGCATTCAGTTGTCAATCCCTTTCATCTCCTTTGATTCAGACAGTTCAGCCTTCTTTTGCCATATATGACATTGACATTTTTAAAGAGTCCAGGTCAGTTTTATTGTTGAATGTCCCTCTATTGGGTTTGTCTGGCTCTCTCTTATCTACGTTTTATTTTTAAATTCTCTCCACCTCAGTAAGCCAGAAAAAAATTCACCTTATCAGCATTACACGCACCTTTACCATTCACTGCAACTGGGGTCCCGGCAGGGCTGGGTCACTCCATCAGGGCTGGCATCCACACACGGAAGGATTAGCAAAGCTAGGTGTTGTGCCTAAATCAATGACATCCCTCTGAAGTAATTATTTATTTAGCAAATGATTTTTAACTGCTCATTACAACGAAATGTAAATGACTGATGGACTGCGGCAAAATGCAAATATAAGGGAAAGCTTTCTCTAAATGTTGTCTACTGTGTCTTTTGAATTGTAAATTCTCCATCATTTGCTAATGAAGGCAGAAAGGCTTTTCCTAAGCAAACAATTGCTTCAGGAAGACAAATGTAAAACTCACTCCTTCCCTGTTCTTTGTTCTTCCCCCAGTTTCGGTCCCTAATCTTTAAATCTGCTGATCCTCCCCCTTTCTGAAGCCAATTTACCTATATACTGGCAAAAGGAGAAAAGTAGGAGTTTAACAGTGAGCTTTTTGTAAAAGATAAATTTATTCCAATTAGAAACTAGTCTTTCGGACTGAATTGTTCTCCCATTTCCTCTATTGGTATTAAAATATACCTTCTTTTATGAAACAATTATAAAAGTTGATGGTCACATTTGGGGGGGGTGTTTATTAATGGTCTAGTGTGCCAAATAAGGATTTAATATTGTGTGCTGGTCTAAAATGTTCTTTCTCTGTTTACTTATATAGCTATTTATTAATATAGTTAATTAGTCAGCTTGTTAATTAGTGTTTCATTCAGTCAGTTGACGAGAGATCCTAAAGTTGGGAGGGGCCACTGATTTGGAGGAAAGAGCCCTAAATTTGGTATCAGAAGGTGGATTTGGCCTTAATCCCTGGGTCTGCCATTTATTAGCTATATAACCTTGAGCAAGTTACTCCAGCCTGCAGCAGCCTTAGCTCATAATCTGTAAAATTAAGTGGTAGTTGATGCCCCATCTACCTCAAGAGAGCAGGGATAAAATTCTCCTACTGGCTGTGAGGACTCTGAAGCAGTTTGTGTTGTCTTGCACCCTCAGGGCCTAACATGAAGCTTGGCATCTAATGAGCATCCAGCAAATGTTTTCCCATAAAAATAAATGAAAGAAGTGAGAAAATGTATGTCAACTTTAAATCCCATAAATATGTAAGTCATCATGATAGAAAGATGTGACATTCTATTCAACACAGTAAAAGAGAGCAGTTCATTGCAGCACACGAAATGCACTTTTTAAATATTTTCTCCATGTTATTTAGAGACCACATTAAACTGTCCCTTGTGGTTATAGTCATGAAAAAAAAAATCTATGTGATTGCAAAGCAGGTGGGTGATAAGAGAAAACAGGAGAGAAACTCAGGCAGCCTGAAGTCTCTATTTTTTCTCCATCTCATCAAACAGTCCTAAGCCGTATCTGTTCCCTCAGCACCAGCAACTTGTATTTATAAGGCAGGATGGTGATGTCAAAAGATTAAGTGTTGGATTCACAAACAGCAATTTTAATCCAGGATTCTTCTTAACTATCTTTGTAAGTTACTTAACTACTCTGGGCCCCGAATTCCTCATTTAAATAATAATAGTAATAATGGTTACATCATAGGATTATTTCAAAGATTAACACATATTACAAATAACAAATATATGAACCCACATTCTATATTTTCTTTCATTTTTAATGTTCCTCCGTAGTTCAGGACGTGGCTCTGGAAGTGAGAAGACAAGCAGGTGATTATAAGTACCTGAGGGACTTCAACCACATTGACTGATTTGAAAAGGAGCAAGAATCCAGGAAGCCTGTTATTCTAGCAATTCAATTTTTGTGTAAAAAGAGAAAAGGTTCATGTATTAGTCCATTTTTGCACAGCTATAAATAACTACCTGAGACTGAGTAATTTATAACGAAAAGAGGTTTAATTGACTCATACTTCCACATGGCTGGGGAGGCCTCAGGAAACTTACAATCATGGTGGAAGGTAAAGGGGAAGGAAGAAATGTCATACATGTTGGCAGAAAAGAGAGAGAGAGCAAGGGGGGAAGTGCCACACTTTAAAACCATCAGATCTCATGAGAATTCACTCACTATCACAAGAACAGCATGGGGGAGATCCGCCCCCATGATCCAATTGCCTCCCACTAAGTTCCTTCCCCGAAACATGGGGATTACAGTTTAAGATGAGATTTGAGTGGGGCCACAGAGCCAAGCCATATCAGATCATGAGCCCTAAATCTTGATAAGGTTCTACAGCAACTACCCTCCCATTCTACCACTCCCACACATTTAACTCTGAAGTTCAATATCATTATACATTTATTGTACATCAGAATCAAACCTAACTATGGTGGTAGAGAAACCTTTCCTCATTTGAGCCACACACACAAAAAAGTACCGTCTAGTTAAAAAAAAAAAAAAAAGGTAGCTACATAAAACAAGAAAAAGAAAAATGTGAGTTTGGCAGTAGCTGGAATCCATGCTGAATCTTGCACTGAACATATCACAATTTTCATCTGAATACTCATGAAGCTTAATATTCCCTATTGATTACCTAAAGCTGACAAACCCTGAAGGCACAGAACTGCATACAAAAAAAACCCCCAAAAACCTCAATTTTTCAGTGTGACAGAAGTCCTTACTCTGAGAGCCAAGGTGCAGCGTAGTGAGCACCTGTTAACATTGGGGGAAATAAGAGGGAGTCTTTTACACAGTGGCTTTCCTTGCCCTAGTAAAGCACTTCTATTAGGAAACAGTGCAGATCAATACATCCACACCTGTGGTAAAGCAAACATCCTCCATCAAGTTAGTTAGACATATATGTTTTGTTGCAATAACCAATAGAGAATTTTTTTAAAATTCTGCTTCTGCTTTTATGATCATAATTTCTAAAAATTCCACGGTCTTTAAAAAAATCAAGCAGGATTTTCCCATTTAGCATTCAAATATATTAGAAAGAAAATGTAATGAGCATGAGCCATTTACAAATAGTTTATATGGCAGGAACTGAAAGATTATATAGAGCAACCCGACTAATTAGCTGGTTAAGAGTATTTTATATATAAATACTTAATAAAAGGCTTACAGAAGTTTATAGCCTCGACAAATCTCCATATTCTATTGGCTTTCTAAGTGAGCAGGTGTGATCTATTTCATCGAACTCTTTTGGAAACTTCAACCAACTTTTTGTTTACCAAGTTTTACAGTTGCAGGCTTGATTTGTTAAAGATGGGAGGTGTTTGCTGAAAGCTGGAAAGGACAATTGCATTCTAAATAAATTTAAAATGCTCCTGAGAAAATTATGCTTCCAAGCCACACATACCCACAAAGGGGAAATAGTATGATCCACCACAGAAAGATGAGTGACAAATGGGAAGTCAGGAGTGTAACCGTTAGGAAGGTGGCCACTGGGTACATTTTGGAGTTGAAACAAGTTTAACTATAGATGACAATAAACAATACTCTGTCGACAGAACAGTCTCTGTTGCATGATTGGATGTCATTTTCTAGGTCTAATTCGTCTACAAGAGCTCATCAAAGCTCCCTCCAGATATAATATTAAAATCAAAATCCGCCAGCTGCCCTCTGGGAATAAAGATGCCAAGCCTTTACTCAAGGAGATGAAGAAAGGCAAGGAGTTCTATGTGATATTTGATTGTTCACATGAAACAGCCGCTGAAATCCTTAAGCAGGTAAGAGGGCTAGGGAGGAGGTGGAAGTGTGGGAGAAATGTTATTTTCTATTTTTCAAAAATGCCATCTAGTTTTCACTTCATGCAGCATAATAAAACTGCAGCAGTCCAGTTTAGGCTGAAGATTATAATTTTCAGAACCCTTTGAAAGAGGCAAGGGGCTCAGAGAGTTCATGGGGCTTCAGTGAAGCCGTATGTGAGTGTTTAGTTGTAAATGTGTGCTTCTATGGGTGGACCAAGTGGTATGTGACTCCTACCAGCAGAAGATGAGAGGAGGACATCATTTCGAGGTGATTAAACATCTCTCTCTCTCTCTCTCATGTCTCTTGAAAAGACTGTGCCAGATTTCATTTACACAATGCCTGACTTGTTCTAAATACATCTTCCTCATGGCAAGACCCCTTTTGTCAAACATGCAGGATTGCAAACACAATTAAAAAAAGGCATACAGGGACAGTTACAGAAAAGATGCCTCTTTCTTCTAATTTGTTGTAGACAATAAACTGCTATGCATTCATCTCCACAGACCATGTGGGTGGAAATACTTAGTAAATTGCGAAATCCTAAATGAAGACATGAGTAATGTTCAGAATCATAACAATAGAACAATAATTTCTGAGCACTTGGTCTTATGCTTAAGAAAGCAAATTCACTGGGAGGCCGAGGCAGGCGGCATCACCTGAGGTTGGGAGTTTGAGACCAGCCTGACCAACAAGGAGAAATCCCATTTCCACTAAAAATACAAAATTAGCCGGCCTGGGGGCACATGCCTGTAAGCTCAGCAACTCAGGAGGTGGAGGCAGGAGAATCGCTTGAACCCGGAAGGCGGAGGTGGCAGTGAGCCGAGATCGCACCATTGCACTCCAGGCACTCTAGCCTGGGCAACAAGAGCGAAACTTCGACTCAAAAAAAACCAAAAAAGTAAATTCAGAATTAGAAGAAGGAAAAAAAAAAGCATAGACTATTACTTCTAACTCCAGAATGATTTTGCCCCCTGGAAACTTAGAGCAATGTCTGAAGACATTTCAAGGTGTCATATTTGGAACAGGGTCCTCTACTGGCAACTAGTGGGTACTGCTAAACATCTTGTAATACACATCTGGAAAGGCTAGCGAGATGTTTAAAATAGAAGCATTAAAAAAAGAGCAGATGATTGAACTTGGAAGAAAGAAAAAATAGCCAGGTTTTGTTTATGTGGTCTGTCCACCATCTCTTTATGTTTAAGTCATTATTGTGGCATAGGCAATGTTTTTATCTAAATAACACAAGCTGTTATTGTACTCTTTTGTTTAAAAGGTCTGGGATTGCTATGTTGTTGACAGTAAGGGCCGGTAATTTCATAAGTAGATAAACCCCTCCATAGGAATGCAGAACTGTGGATTCTTGAATCACTAGAAAGAGCTCTTTTCAAATAGTCATCTGGCCTGACTCTCTGGTGCTCCATCTCACACTTGCAGAGCACCTCCACACAACCGTTGAGTTCAGAATTGAGTTTTTAATTGCACTGAACATCTACAGTCAAAAAAGTTAACCAAATGTTTCTATTATCTGCTGGATGATTAGAGTAAAAAAGAAATCTATTTAAAGTTGGAGTTGGGAGGCTAAGGCAGGAGGATCACTTGAGGTCAGGAGTTCAAGACTAGCCTGGCCAACATGGTAAAACCCTGTCTCTATTAAAAATACAAAAAAATTTGCCAGGTGTGGTGATGGGCGCCTGTAATCCCAGCTACTTGGGAGGCTGAGGCAAGAGAATCACTTGAACCTGGGAGGTGGAGGTTGCAGCGAGCCAAGATTATGCCACTGCACTCCAGCCTGAGTGACAGAGCAAGACTCTGTCCCCCAAAAAACAAATAAATAAAATAAAATAAAGCTGGGAACACAAAGTTGCATTTGAAAGCAATTACAGACATCACCATATCTAATTCTCACACTTTGCAAGATATAAAATGACATCGCCAGAGTCATACATCCGGTGCTTTCTCCACCATGACATGCTGTCAATCCTGTTAGGCAGAAGAGTATTGGTTTCTTAATTCTATGCTATAGTTACACTAACAAATCTTTAGATATTAAAATTATCTCTCAATAAAGCAAGCAAGCATGTGGCAGTAGTGTCAACAACTGAAGAACTTTAAAGGTAAAGAAATGCAATCAGTAATCCTTTATCATAAGGCTTCATTTAAGAATGTTAATACAGTTCATTAAAGGATGTAATGAAGTATGTGGGTCAGAACTGAGAAAAGCACCCAGATTTATGTGTAGCCCTCAAAAGGCAAAGAAGCTTCCCTTCCCAGGAGCCTGTTGTAAGAGAAGTTGGGGACATCTGTTAGATTTAAGAGAATGATTTGCTGATGAGGCTTCTCTTTGCTAGATACTCATTTGTCTCACATAACTGGCCACACCTCTCCCAAGGGCAGGTCTGGAATAGGCAAGAACAGTGTACGGTGGTGGCAGGGAAGGGCTGTTTCTATTTCACTAAATTTGGACTTGAAGTTCCTTTGATAGAAGTAGCTCTTTCCTAGTAGCCTGGGGATTACATCATTCAGAGGACAATTAAGACAAAAACAAAAGCAAAATATCTAAGAGCAGCACTCTCAAGAAATGTCTAGCTGGGGCGGCAGGGAGTAGGATTAGTTCAGCTTTGTGCCAGCCACTGACACAGACGTTTTTCTCTATCCTCTCTCTTATGTTTTAGCCTATGTTTGCTTTTACTAATCATTTTAGTGTTAAGAGTGGCTGTGAGGCTTGCAGGAAGACACTAAAGAGATGGCTCATCCAGTTTTCCTTCTAGACTAATAATCTGTAAATATTTTGGAGATAAGAACCCTTTTTTAAAGGTCCTAGCATGAAATTCCTCCTGTATTGTATGTAAAAGGGCAATTGCACTTTTTGGAATAACTACAGAGGACTCAGGTCAGCTTAACGGGACTTCATTGGAACCTCCAGAGGCTGATGTGCTTGAAATGGGATATTGGAGACATCACAACTCTTCTGTTCTGGTCAAAGTAAGGCCTAAGCACTCTATGTGATCCAGCTTAACTTGCTCCATTTGCCCCGGAGAAAAACCTGTAGAAAGAGAGACTTGTCTGCTAAGAGATTCACTAAGGAGGCTGAGGACTCAGGAGTTCTGGTTCCTGATCTGGCTGCCATTCCACTAATCCTTGAACTCAAGGAAAGGAAAGGAAAGGAAGGAGACTTACCTCTTTTACCGAGGGTCCTAAGAGGTGACAACGAAGGTGCATGGCATCCTACATGATCATAGCATCAATCTCAAACAACCCCCTGAGGTGAGTTTGGTATTCTCGCTTTTGAGGTGAGGCAACTGATGCTCAGACAGGATAAGTGACCCATATAAGATCACTCTCTGAGCCTGGCTAGGCTGACATGTAGTCTCCAGACTGCCTCATCTCAGAGCCTGTGTGCTCACTTTACTCTGAAGGGCCCCCAAGCAGTATGGATGACTATTCTGAAGTAGGCTTTCAGAAATGTCTGGAAAAAAACACAACCATATGCTGCTGGTCTTCTTTAGATAAGATTAGTATTAATAGCTTTTACTTTTCTGGTAACTGAAATCACTGCCAAGAACATTTCTCTGCCAGGTCAATATGGTACTCTCTTTATGTGCATTTGCCATCATTATCCTGCATTTCCCTGCACCTTTATCATATTTTCCCACCTTTCTATGATTCTTAAGAAAAGAAGAAATCAAAGGCACTTTAAAGATATTTAACATTTATCCAAAAGTAAAAATTGGGGAAAAGTCTATAGTTATTCTTGGGCATGCTAATTACTCCAGCAAAGTAATTATTTCTATTCATATTGAACAAGTACTATATGATGAGAATCTGAGAAGTTATTTCTCCAAAATTCATTTGAAATTTGAATGTCAAGACTTGATTAGGCTACAGAAGACAGGGTTTTCATATGAACTTTCTTGACGAATTTCTACAGTTGGAAAGTTTCCATAAATCAGAAGGTTGCATGTGTCCTCTCCCCAACTTACCCACCCACCACCTCGCAGCATGGTCCTGATGCTTTGAAAAGATGCTGCTCTCTCTGTAACCTGCCTTCACCGTGGAAACCAGTGCTCCTCCTCACTCTCATTTCCCCAAGTCCAACTGCTCTTTCACTGACTCTTTGCTGTTTATCCTTCTTATATACCCTCATTCATACCGAGTGTGATTTTACTGAGGGAATGGCTGAAATGAGATGAATTTAAAGAATGAAGCAAAGGGCAAGAAAGCTCTACCTATGGAATTCCCAACTTGTGCCTAGCAGGATGCTGGGTGCTAAGCAACCATCTCATGTAAGTGACCCAGTAACTTCTAATATGATCGGTATTATTCCTCTTTTGCAACTGAAAATTGAAGCTAAGGTAATTTTATCTACCATATACTGAGCATACACTTAAACAGAAAGTACCAAGGCCTGCGTGAGCTGACCTTGCCTCTCTCTCCAGCCTTCTTCTGGCCTCCAGTATCTGATACTCCATTTCAGAGGCATCCTTTCTGACCACGTGACACAGCCTTTTCTCCCCACACCATAGCCTTTGCACTTGCGGTTGCCAAATCCGGGAACATTCTACATTCCCAGTCATTCCCACCTAAGTTTTCATGAATATCTCTTGAGAGATAAAAGAGAGGAAGCTCCCTTCTCATTCTCTACATCCCTTCACTCTACTTAGTTTGCTCTGTCACCACAATAAAAATCATAGTGAATTAACACATTTACTCTTGTGTTGTCCATATCCCTTACTACACTGTAAGTTCCAAGAGGACAGAAACCCTTTGTCCTTTTCCCCCAAATCCCTAGCACCTACTACATTATTTGACACATAACGAGTGTTCAGTACAGCTCTGTCAAATGAATAAATGAACCAAATGAATGAATGAGCCAAGAACTGTTCTAGACTCTTTCAGTAAATCATCCCCAAAGTCATATTTTCTTCTGCCCCAGTGAGTCTGCTATACTCTCATCTCTGCCAAGCACATTTGGGTGAGT